TCATTAATTCCAACCAAATCTCTAGATGATCCCTGCGATCCTTACAGCTTTAAAGTTCCAGGGTTCTGCTAAATGCTTCCTTCCCAAACTTCTACAGACTTCTTAGCTCCTTCTTTGCAATTAATTCCTCCCCCTTCTGCCATCCATGCCCTAGCAGAGCTGTCAGCCAAGCAGTGAGGATATTCTGTTCTTTTTTATTTTTATTCTTACAACTGAACCCTCATAATTATTTTTGTGGCCCCTTTCTGAACTTGTTCTCCTTTGCCTACCTTCTTTACGAAAATGAGATGCTCAAGTCATACCTGGTTGAGCAGTGGAAGTCTGCCAACGTCAGGTTCAAGGGGGGACATGTGGGGTTCACAGTGCTGACCGGACCCTCAGTCCTGTGATCCCCTTGTCCCTCTCATTGACTTGACTTGTGCAATTGAATTTTACTGCCAAATTAGATTGTTTGTCCATGATTCATCTGTACCCATCCTTCCAGTCTTTTTAGTGCCTCCCCTCTTGACTATTGTCAGAATATATTAACAAGGTCAAAATCTTCCTCCAAATCACTTTACCAATACAAATTATTAACTTAAGGCACAGATCACATTTGCCTTAAGCTTGAGTATGCTAAATACAAAAATCTGAGTATGCTGAATACAAAAAAATACAAAAAATGTGCCCTAACAAACCTCAGTCTATGATTAGTGTATATTATCTTCCTGATAACTTCACCTTATTTTAAAAAATACAGCATTCAAAGATTTATTACACAGTTCACCATTTAGAAATTGAAAAGGGGCCCTGAAAAAGGAGCTAATTCAAATTGACTTTTAAACTTCTTTAACTCAAAATTTTCTAGATCACACACCTCTCTTTCATTGTTATGACTTTCTATGTTATGAACTGCACATATTAAAATTAGGGAATCACTCTGACTTTAAGAGAAAGGACAATGTCATACGAGGAGACATAAAATCAATTTATTGAACTGGAGGTTAGAAAAAGTATGTAAAAGGCACAAAATGCCAAAGGATCAAGTGTGTCTCTTGCATGTGTGGCTTGCTTAGCATTGTTCTTGGGCTATAGTTTTTTGGTGAGATGCCCAGTCTTTGAGATGTTTTCTTTTGCACATATGGAATGCCAATCTCTGGATTTAAAAAAAAAAAATTAACTCTAGGGATTTATATACCAACACTCATTCTAAGCAAGGAGAAGGATAAACATCTAGCATAGAGATGGTAAGATTAAGGAGTTTACAATTTTTCTTTGTCACTGCTTCTTGCTTATTTTGTTCCTTCTCAGTGGAGTAATTCTATGGGATTGGAGGTCAGAAGGCCTGGGGTCTAGTGTTGTGTCTGTTTTTTTTTATTTTGGCATCAGTATCTTCATCAATCAAATGCGAATAAGATTTAAAAACTCACAAATAGTGTTGATGGAAAGACTAAAGTAAATAAGGTATGTGAAAATATTTTAGTGAACTGTAACATAGAATAACATGCGCTAGCCCTAGGACATAATGAGTTCCGAGTTATTACTGCCGTTATTAACAGCATCATCTTCAGCTAACGCTCTTCTGTGTCTTTCAGTATAAATGACCACTTGAATAAAAGTTTTTCCATGAAAAAGTCTATTAAAAGCCCCTTTCCTTTATTTTCAAGGTCATATTCAACTTAAGTTATCTCATGATGAAAACATTATCAACACCAGATGATCAAAATGTCTAACCACATGGACATACAGCTTGGCCAGAACCACCGAGATAACCGACACATCAGAAATTTGTGACATGTCAGTTTCTAGCAATGAATCTGAGTTGCAAGATGTAGGTGTCTTCTATTACCTTTTTAAAGATTTTTTTTTTACCCTTCCCCCCTTTTTTTTCCCAGATTTTATTTATTTGACAGAGAGAGACACAGGGAGAAGGGGAACACAAGCAGGCGGGGAGGGAGAGGGAGAAGCAGGCTTCCTGCCAAGCAGGGAGCCTGATGTGGGGCTCAATCCCAGGACCCTGAGATCTTGACCTGAGCTGAAATCAAGAGTTGAACGCTTAATCGACTGAGCCACCCACGTGCCTCTGAAGGTGCCTTCTTAATGGCCTTCGTATTCACTCCTCCAAACAATATAGTTAGGTTTTTCATTTCTTGGGAAATCTGTCCAAATGTTGTTATTAGATATACGTAGAGTGTACGAAGAGATGCTTTTCTTATTATAGCAAGAAGACAATGTAGCTTTTTTTTCATCCAGAAAAGAAATTGTGGGAAAGATATCTAATATTTTGAAGACCTAATAACTCGTTCTAACTTCAAAACGTAAGAATGTCTCATTTACATATGCATTTTGATTTGGGTGGTATTCTATTAAATAAAAAGCCATGAAGATGAACTCTTTCTATGAGCTATCTCTAGGGTGACCCCAGCTTGATGCATGACCTCACCTTTCTTCACACTGTGGCATTTGTAAAGCATTCTTTCCAAGCCTCATGATGAAATTTCACACTGGTGGAGATCCTTTTGTAAAACTTTTATGCAGATGACTGGAGCAAAACTGAAGTGAATCACATGTACCAAACATGCTCTCAAGAAAGATCAGATTTTAAAAATGGATTTTGCTTTTCCCCAAAGTGGCTATGGTAGAGTATGGCATTTAGAAGGTGTCACTCAGCCTTTTTGCAATTTGACATAATCTTAAATCAATGAAATGCTCTAGGTTGCCACCTGGAGATCGTCACAAAGGAAAGAAAGGATAACAGTTTTAAAGTGGAAAGAATCTGAATATTCTTTTAAACAGAACTGGCAGAATTCTTTTTGGAATGATCAACCAACCAGACTGAAAAAACAGGGAGCCCATACACTACCATACTGATTTAGGAAAGAGCTGTACACTGTTGACCTTTTGAAATTATGAGAATTTGTTCTAACACTGGGCCAGGATACAGATGCTACTTGTCCATCAAAATTTATGAGACAATAGAAGGTATGCTCTGGAAATTAGCCAGCAATGAAGACAGCTTCTTTTGCAATACGCTGACCTCTTAGGTGACTATCCAAAGTATGCAGGACAAGTCACCATTCCCCTACTTAGAAAGCAGGAGGTCTATTCTTTCTTAACACCCTCAAGCAGTTAGGTTCTTCAACTGAAATTTTTGTGTCCTTGAGTAACTTAATTAGTATTTCTGAGGCTCATTATTCTCTTCCATAAAATGGAAATGACAATAACTGCCCTTTGGTGCTGGTGTGCAGAGTACCTGAGAATTTTGCAGAGGTGTCAGCCCAGGGTCTGGGCAAAGATAGTTATTAGGGGTCTCTTGTTCCTGCTTCAACCTTGCCCATGGACTCTAGCTTTTGAAGTGTCCCACTGTTCCTTTGCCATAAGCTACTAGTGTTCTCTTTTTTATGATCATGACTTATGATTATGATTATGATTTGTGATTTGTGATTATGATTTTTTATGATTCTACCTTCACTTACCCTAGACTATTCCTCTCACTGTACTTCTCCACTTTAGTGGAGACTCTGGACACCAATGTTTGTGGAAACTCTGGACACCAATGCCTAGTGGGTATGTTGGGA